GATGTTTAACCTGCGTTTGTAATAAGTTGACATATTATTTCTGACTATGCAAATAGCAATCTATTACTATATATATATCCGTTTTGATTTTCTTCCATGGCTCTGGATCCTAATTTTCCCCAAGGCAGGCTATAAAGCTAGAATTTCTCTTGGAGCTGGCCAAAATTCTTTGACCTATCTTGTCTTATAATGTGTGTGGAGAGCACTATTTCAGAACGGGTCCTGCCTTGTACCAGGAAGGAAGAAATGCTGTATGGGGAAGCCAAGAGAAACCTGGATGACCCTTGCTGGGCTTTCCCGTTCAGTGTGTTATCACTGTGCTGTACTCCTGCCCACTCACATTTCCACATGGTTGTCAGTGCTTCAATCACACCTGTGTAGTGAAGGTTTTGTAGAAATCCAAAAGGACTGGGTTCAGAGACGGTGGCTGAGCACTGGGAGATTCCTTGAGCTTGTGGTGCCTGGAAGGGATAGACAGGGAGACAATATGTCCTTTTACCTTGTTTACCTTGTGAATTGCTTCATCTGTATGTAGCCTATGTCATGTCCATTCTCATAAGTCAATAAACATTTCCTGAGTTACTTGAGAAAAATTAATTGAACCCAAGGAGGGACTTAACGAAATCCTGATTTATAACCTGTAGTGTAAAGCCCAGGTGAAGCATTGTGGGGCTTGACACTGAACCAGGGAAGGGGCGAGTCTTGTAGATTGAGCATGTAACCTTCAGGATGTCACGCTATCTCCAGGTGGAGCCTGCCGAAACAGAATTAGAGGATATCCAAAGCGAGGACTTTAGCTGCTAGGCCACACCACCGGGCCCTAAATTTTTTATTGTAAAGTCAAATATACAAGAGAGGAGAGACAGAGAGGAAGATATCCTGCATGTTGATTCACTCCCCAAATGGCTGCAACGGCCAGAGCTGAACCCATCTGAAGCCAGGAGTCTCTTCTGGGTCTCCCACACAAGTGCAGGGTCCCAAGGCTTTGGGCTGTCCTTCACTGCTTCCGCAGGCAACAAACAGGGAGCTGGGTAGGAAGCATCCCTTATCACACCAATGCCCTTATGGAATCCCAGCACATGCAAGGAGAGGACTTTATTTGCTAGGCTACTGTGCGGGGCCCAATATTGCTTAATTTTTAAAAACATGTTTATTTTATTTTTATGTGAATGGCAAAGTTAGAAAGGAGAGAAGGAGACAGGTCTTTCATCTGCTGGCTCCCTCCCCAAATGACCACAGTGGCCAGACCTGGGACAAGCTGAAGCCAGGAACTTCAAGTGCAAGAACTTCAGCCATCTTGTGCTGCTCTCCTAGGTGTACTAGCAGGGAACTAGATCAGAAATGGGGCATCTGGGTTTCAAATCAGTGCTCATGTGCAATGTATGTTTTGCAGGCATTGTCTATTTATTTATATTATTGTTTCATTTTATGACACAGTTTCATAGGTTCTGGGATTCCCCCAACCCCTCCCAAAGCCCTGTACAGTAGTACAGTTCATGACCAGTCATGATTCCTTCCTTCATTGCAGGCAAGGACCATGCATAGAGTCCAGCATCTTATTGTCCAGATAAATTCAACAGTTTCTTGGGGAGACCATCTCTGGTCTAAATGCAGAGCTGGCAGAATATCATCTCCTCCAATGAGAAACCACTACACAACTTCAACAACAGGAAGAAACGTGGAAATTTACAACGTCATGAAGTTAATTGACATGGTATTGAGGGACCATCACAGGCATTGCCTTAACTTGCTGTGCATCTATGCCAGCCCTTACAACCTTGCTTTCTTTGCAGGTGGAGGAAGAACACCTGCATACTTGCTGTGAGAAGCATGTTGTTGGGTGAAAGTACAGAAGGAACTGAATTTGAGATTATTTGTTCCTCTAAATGGACAGACCATGTGTTTCCTAGGTGAGTGTGGAAATAGTTGTTGTTAGGTCTTCCTTGTAAGTGGAGACTGTAATATAACTTCTTTCCTGGTAGACACTTTCCCTTCACTCTCCTGGGAAGATTTTTAGGCCAGAAATGTTCCAAGTATTGGTTGTAATTTCAATGACAAAAAAGAAATCAGTATTTTAAAAACTACGAGTTACTGTAGGGTTTGCTCTATTGTAATGCTACTAAGCCACATTCCCTAAAATAACAAGTTAAGTGTCATTATAACTATATTCCTGAACCGGATGTTTTGTTTAAAGATTTACTTTTTTATTTATTTGAAAAGCAGAGTTACAGAGAGAGGAGAGACACAGAGAGAGGTCTTCCATTCATTGATTTACTCTGCAAATGGCTGCAAGGACTGAAACCAGTGCTTGCTCATATGAGATGATGGTGCCACAAGTGGGGACTTAGCTTGTTACTCTATGCTTATTTTGATTTTCAAAAAAGATTTTTCAATTTGTTTGCGAGAACTAAATAGAAGGAGAGACAGAGATCTTCATCTGCTTGCTCACTCCCCAGATGTTCCTGATGGCCAGTGCTGGCCGAGGATCCAAGTTGATGCCAGAAGCCAGGAGCCAGGAGCTTCATCCAGGTCTCCCATGGAGGTGACAAGTGCCCTAGTGTTTGGGCCATCTTCTGTTTCTTTCCCACACTGCTAGCAGGAAGCTGGGTTGGAAGTGAATCAGCACATATGGGATGTCAGCGTTGCAAGCCGTGTCTTTACTCGCTACATCACGGCACCACTTCCAATGTTTTTATTTCTATACCTCTGATGGAACCAGACACTAACTTTCCTGGAACATTGAGATACTGCAAACCATTATTGTGGGTATTTGTAGTACATACAGACCAATTTGCCTGCCTTATTTGATTTACTACAATGAACCTCCAGGTTCATCAATGTTGGGTATGGAATTAGTTTTTCCATGTTTTCATGGCAGTCTTTAAGTATTTTTTGGTAGGGTGTGTGTGTGTGTGTGTGTGTGTGTGTGTGTGTGTGCAGAATATAGATGGATCTTGTTTTTTTTAAATGATTTAGCCAGTTTTTATTTATTCTTTGGAGAATTCAGGGCATTTAATTTCAGGGTTCCTACTGATAGGTAACATCGTCCTCCCCATTTCTGTTCCTGTACCCATTGTTTGCTTTGAATTTCCTTTGTACTTTTACTAGCAGAAACAGGAACTGGGCTTGTGGCTAAAAACACTGAAACTAATTGGACTCATCTATATCCAATATCCTGGCTAAATTAGGACGTTGGTGGCGGGGGGGTTGTGGTGGAAGGAGTATATAAGGAGAGGTAAAGGAGACTTTGCAGACTTCCACCATCACTGGTCTGTCAGTGCTTCATTCCTAGACCCTCTCCATGTCCACATTACTGGCTCTGCTGGTCAGAGCACAGAACTGCCAGTTTGTACTAGAGCAGGTTTGGTTTTGATAGGTCTAGTCAGGATGGACTGAGGAACTCCCTGATAGGAACTCACCTGAAACTTTCAGGTACCAGGTCTGGGAGGAGGCCCAGGTGGGCCAGGATACAACACTCACAGTATATGCAAAGGCCGGGACTGAGGGCAGACCATGCCAAGCAGGGCTGTGACACTCTCCAGCAGGTTTGAGATCCAGGGCTTGCAGTAGCCCTGGGAAGAGAACTTGGAGAATTCCCCTACTAGGCTATAGATCCTGCTGAGGAATACAGGAGCGAGCTGTGAGGGCAGGAGAGGCTAACTGTCAGGTTTGTGTGTTCCAGGTCTGAGAGAAGGCAGGGCTGAGCCAGTCTGCAGCACCTGCTGGCATGCACAAGAGCCAGAACAGGGTGTGGACCACATTCAACTGGGGTAAACTGCAACACTGACCAGCAAGAGCTGAGACTGCAGGCAGGTCATGCCAGGCAGAGTCATAGCCCCCATCAGCACATGCCAGATCCAGGGATGGGCAAAGGCCTACTAGGAGAAATGTTTGGACTGGCCTGTTAGGCAGCAGGTCCCGCTGGTGAGTGTGAGAGGCTGGACTGTGGCCAGAATAGACTGGTTATGGCTGAAGCACCCTTCAGCATACAGGAGATCTTGATCAGAGGGCAGGACTGACTAGCCTTCAATCCTGCACCTGCTGGGATTAGCAAGAGTCCGAATGAGTATGGGAAAGGCTGTGTTAGGCCATGGCATTAGCCTGATCACTTGAAAACTGAGGCTAAGGTTGTGCCAGCTGGGCTGGGCCGAAGCATCCACCGATGAGATCCAGGATGCAAGCAGGACAGTAAGACTAGACTGCAGTACCCACTGCTAAGTGCCAGAAATGGGGGCTTGACATGTCATGCAGGGCCACAGCATTCAGGGGCACTTAGGAAATCTGGGGCTGGGTGTAGGCCTTGTGGAAGAACTTGGAGAACTCTCCTGTTAAGTTTCAGGTTCCACTTGTGAGTGGGAAACCAGGGACTGGTGTAGGCCAGGCCTGGTCTTGAGAAGGCCACAAAACTCATTGTATACATGATTGCCATTGGTGGTGGGGTGGAGAATATGCCAGTGCAAAAACATTCAATTGCAGCAGCTTGTGTAAGGATTGTGTGTGGGCCAGACCACTGGATTGCAAAAAGCTGCCAGTTCACTTGAGGCCTGGGTTGTGGATAGGCAGGCTGGGCTAAACTGTCGAATCCACTGGTCAATGAGGAGGGACAGGTTAGGCTGAGCCAGGCTGCAACAACTGCACCTGACTCCTACAACACGGTGCAGGCCATCTCTGATTGAGCTACAACACTTACTGGTCTACATAGTTCATCACTGGTCATGCTTGCATATGACCTGGACATAAGAAGAGCTATAAAGAACACACAACAAGCGCATGCCATACCATGCCATGCCATGATTTTATATGAATTGAAAAAACAATAACGAGTGAGAGAAAACAGACAACATTCAACCCATTGTCTGGTAGTTACCACACTTACAAGGAATGATTTTTAGTGTCTCAAATGCCAGGTCTACAAACCCAACAATGCACAACACCTGATACTTGCAAAACGAAAAGAAAAGAGGACATGGCTAACATGCCAAGCAGAGCTTGGGATTCTTTTAGGTGCTTTTCTTGAACGCCTCCTTTGGAATGACACCTTGGTCCTGCAGGGAAGGAATCAGGACATCAGGAGAGCCAGGGGTCCCAAGTTCAACCCCCAAGCTAACCCCTTCCATAATGCTGAAGGCCCAGACACACCCATCTTCACCCACTTGCTTCCCAGGCCTCACCTGGAGCGTGTAGAAGGCCTGTACCGCACTGGTAAAGTTCCACTCATTGTCCTCAAGGCATCTGCGTTGGGAGAAGAACACGTGACCTCCACAGAGCACACACACACCAATCGCATCAGGCCACCCCATCACTGGTGCCACTCTTCCCCTGCTACACATGCGCCAGAGTGATTATTGCTCTGACCATGAATGAAAGCTTTTCAACAACCACAATGTCTTTCCCTAACATTCACACCCTGGAAGCCACAGCAGAGAAACAGTGATGCTCAAAAAACAAGGGATCTTGTACATACATACTGCTTTACAAAGGTATGTTGGAGGCTGGCAAAAGCAATGGATAAAGCCACCAACGACACTCTAGAAATCTCATATGGACACCAGTTCCATTCCAGGTTGCTATGTATCTGACCACATCCCTACTGATGGGCTGGGGAAAGCAGCAGGAGATACCCCAGTGCTTGAGCCCTTGCCATCCATGTGGGAGACCTGAAAGAAGTTCAAGATCCTGTCTTCAATGTGGCCCAGAGAAGGTCATTGTGTACCATCAATGGAGAGTGCCTCTCACTCTCTTTTTGTGTATGTGTGTCTCCTCTTCTTCTCCATCTAAAACTCTGACTTTCAAGTAAAAAAGGACATCATATCTTTTATACCAAAAGAATATACAGAAATTTAAAGTATAAACTCACATGATTTTCAAACATATTTAAATTGGATAACAGCCATGTAATACAAAAAGCATCCTCACAAAATGTATGATTCGGAGTTTGATACTGTTCTCGCAAGACTTGCAACTATCCCAGCTAATGCCAAGGTCATATTCTTGTTTAGAAAAGAAACTCCTTAACGGTTAGTGATGACTTTTCACTCTAGCTCTTTCTCCCAGTCCCAGGCAAGCATGTCTCTGCTCACAGTCTCCATGGATTTCCTAGTCCAAGGTGTCTGTTACAAGCAGAATCACATGGCATGTGACGCTTTGTGACAGCCTATGTCAGAATTATGATACTTGGGAGAGCAGGATGTGGGTAGCCATACTTAGTGATCCACTTTTCAGCTAAGGGGAAATGGAGTTGCTTCCACTTGAGGCTAGTACAGAAAATGCTGCTACGAATACTCCTGTACTAGTGTTTCCAAAAGCACACATTTTTCCTTCTCTAGATGGTCACCTAGGAAACAGCTGGGACTTGAACCAGCACTTGTATGTGCACTGTGTGTATTGCAGGCATCAAATTAACTCTGTATATCATATAAAACCTGAAAATAAGTTGAAAAAATCTCTACACGTATCCGTATAAAAGTTTCTCTCTTTCATATGCACAATATTTTCATACAGAAGCAAAGTACTCAGAGACCCTTCTCCACATCACATGCATTTTCATGTGCCACACTCTTGTTGTCCTACTGCCCCCATTCCCATGGTCAACCAGCACTCACTTTTGGCTCCATGAAAGTTTCATCCCAGACTGCACAGAGAATGCATGCACCATTTCTTCCTGCAGCAGGGAGAGGGTGGGTGGACAGTGGGAGCACGGTATGGCCCCCACGATCGAAAAGCTGTTCCGGACCTTTACAGGGTTGGTGTTGCTCACAAAGAGATGGTCATTCAGGATGCACACACTGTCGGGGAAATGGGTCCTCAGCCAGCTGCACAGAGAACAGTCCCAGCTCCCAACAGGCTCTTCCATAACCACTACCACACACCTACCAGATTCTCACATGTTCCCCCTTCTCTTGCCTCCCAAGGTTCATAACTGTGTCCTCTAACCCTACCTTGAGCTCATGCTGGAGAAGACTGTCTCATATTTTAAGTCAGTCTGTGCACTTCACCTCTGCACTTTTCCTGTGTGACAGTGCAAAGGAGTGGACACAGTTATCCCCACCTTCAGTGAGGGCAGTGAATCATGGTGTCATAAAGTAATGTGACCAACTTCCCATACGTACAAAGTGGTGGGATCAGCAGGAGGAACCACGAACTGGCTCCAGAAACATCTCTTTTAACCTCCAGGACACATTGTCCCTCAGCTCTACCTACGGCTAGTCCCACTGACTGAGCACATCACGAGTGCCACATTATCGCATTCCCTTACCAGTGGTCCTAGGCAGGAATGGCTGTTCCATGAACAGCACAGCACTTACTTTGAAGTGTCAGTCAGGAACCCAACGAATGTCCGGATGAAACCAAGCACCGAATTTTCAGATCTACTCTCTGTTTCAAGGACAAAACACAGCACCACTTGGAATGCACATTCTTTACCCACTCACACTGCTTTCTCAGTCCGGGTCTAATACTGAAGAGGATCATACTGGTCAAACTGACGCCAATGTGACAAGTCACCTCTTAATTTAATTCTCAGGAACCAAGACAAGGATGCTAGTGCCGTACATTGCATTGGTCAGCCGCGAGGAGAGAAAAGAAGGGTCTACATCACGAGAAAGCATATAACGGGGCTGCAAGTCAACTGCACAGCCTGTGTCCCAGGTGCTGAAATATATGCAGTAGACAGGCATGGGCCAATATGGATGAAGAAACAGTTTGGACAGACAAGGAGAAGGAGAACACCAGAGGAATAAGCAGAAGGAAGGAAACAGATTTGGGAGAAGCTGGGAGAGTTCTGAGGGGTATGCCAGGGAGAAGAAGGGTGTAGTGGGGGCTCTGAGGAGGTGACTATGGAGAGCACTCACCTCCCCTGAAAATCCCCTTGACAGTGGCAGTGAAGGACTTCTCCTGAAAGGGAAGAAGAACTCAGGTTCTCAGGATGCCCCTGCACCTCTGGTCTAGCTCTAATTACTTCAAGCCTGCCAGAGGGAGGAAGCAGGTGCTCACTGTGTAGAAGCAGGTGTCTATTGAGAAGGAGCTGAAATAATGTCGAGTTTTAGGCAACGTGTTGAGGGTGTCCACGATGGCATGGTTTGTGTGCTTCAGCAGTTGCCTCCTCAGGCCTATGTGAGAGAGGAAGAGACCTGTGCTGCCACACCCATCCCTTGGATCTTAAACTGTCTCTTTTCTTTGACCTCACCCGGACTGCCCCATCAAATGCTTACTTGCTTCTGTGATGTTCTTGATATTCCTGCTGATCTTGGCGTATTCACACAATTCGGTCCTAGGGGACAACAAAGAACAGTAAGCAGTGTTCCAGGCAGAAGAGTTGATTGCAGGAGCTGACCTGTGTCTGCCTGGGAACTACCTGGCCCCAGATGAGATGTGAATACAGTACTTACGGGACCGGGTCTGTGGAGTTGAAGACAGTGCTCAGAGAGAAATAAGCCTTCTCGTGGTAAACATTAATAAGAGTATGGCGATCTCCATAGTCATAGATGAAGTAATAGCTGTGGGGAAGCGATGAAGATGGGCTATGTCTGTGCCCAGACACAACTGACACTTGAAAACTCATGTGAGCAGGCCTATGCACATTTGCCTTCCTCATAGTCCCTGGCATACTTACTGGTGAAGGAAATTGATGATCACATTCTTCATCATTTCGATTTCTTGAGAACTTTTCTGGAATGAAAAGAAATCCATTTAAGAAACTGTAAGTGATGTAACCCCATCTCTGCACCCCGAGCTGCTACACCATTACTAAAGTCTCCCTAATCCCTCCTCCTCCTCACCTCACTTGGTTTTGTTGTCTTCTGTTCATCCATTTCAGCAACTGGTGGGGATAAGTCTTTGCCATCCTTGGGAAGAGAGCAGCACAATGAACACGTGGTTTGTGCAAGGTCATGTACAACCACATGTCTGTGTGTGTACTTAAGAATATGTTTTGCACTGGGAATATGCATGGCCTTCATTAGAAGTCATCTCTCTAGTGAAAGATTTTGCGATGCCAACTTGTTACCCAAATCCACCCAAATGCTGTGAGCAGTTATTGAGATGGTGTACGTCCGAAGAAGAGAGAGTGATGAGTACAGGTACTCACCAGGCGTGACAAATTGGGGAAGCAATCCAAAATCCCTCTGTCGGATTAAAAAGAGAGAGAGAGAGTGATAGATAGTAGTGGCTGACATTTGGGATTGCACACTCTCTTTCCTCTTTTGCATCTGTTCTTCCTCTAAAATCCTTTCCCGTTTCTTCTGCATCACGTTCTGTCCTCGCTAACTACTCCAGGACCAGCAAAAGCCCCAATGGCATCCCAGACCTCAGCCAGCTCCCAATCTCCCTCAGTTTTTGTGGTGTGATGTTGGGAATCTTCACATGCTACTGGGATGGGGTTGGAGACCAAGCCTGTGCTGCTTCTCAGACTATGAATCCCTCTGCAGGCACCAGCTGGGAAAGACCAACTCAACCCCCTAGCAGTGGCCTGGGTGGAAACGGGACAAACAAGAGAGTGATATGTGAATCCAGACACAGGGTAAAGTCAGTATGGCATGATGAGAGAAGGCAACTGGTGGTAGGCTACAGAGAGCTGAGGGAGAAAAAAGAGAGCACAAAGAAGGAATAGCAAACAAAAGGAAGGGGAAGAGACTCAACCACTGTGTTGAGATCAAGAAGGAAGGGGGCAGGGAAGTGGGTATTCTGCTGCAACCCTTCTCATCAGGGGCCATTGGCCGGACCAGATGGACCCAGGGCAGTGTGAGAAGAGGCTGGACTTGTGAGAGGCAACGGGAGGCAGGTTGAGCCTTTGTCACCTGTGTGATGTTGGTTGAGTGAGGTTGGGCACTGAGCAGCCCCAGAGATGGGAGCAGTTTCCCTGAAGGAGCAATGGATCAAGGATTCTGGCCCCTGCTATCATCACTGTGTTCTCTTCTCCAGATCCACAGGCAGCAGTGCCTAGTTGTCAGAGCGTTAAGCAAGGAATCAGATGCATCAAGGGCCTTTGGGTCTCCTCTGGAGGATGTAGTTGAGGATGAATGGAGAAGTGGTGCCCATGAGAGGCATGCCCTTGTATCTCGCCCATCTCCTCTACCCTTGACCTTCCAGTCTTGGCTCAAGAATCCCTCTTTCTGACAGTTGCCAGCAGTTAGCCACATGAATCAGGGAACATGGGTTTCTCCTCAGGTAAGTCCCAGCTCCCGGAAGTGAAACAAAGGGTTTGATGTCATGTTGGCAGGCATGCAGCTACCAGCTCTACAAAATGGGGCAGGAAAAGAACATTTAAACCTCAGGCAGGTTCTGGGAGCAGTTTGGAGCAGAGGAAGAGCTCCTCTCAGCATTGAGTCAGCCTGAGAAGGTGGGATGCAAGAGCTGTCTAAGTTGAGGGCAACACCATCTGGCTTGGGGCTAACATTGCTGTCCCTTGTGAAGACACGGAACCTTGCTTCTTGGAGCAAACCTAATGGGAGGTCACCTGGGAGTCCAACACAGTGAGGAGGGATAACACTCTAATCATTTGGAAAGGAGATGATGTCAGAAGGAGGAAAGGAGACCTCAAAGAACAGCTGAAGGACAAAGTGGAGAGGCAGGGTCCAGGTGTTCCTAGAGGACCAGGGTTACATCCTCCTACAGGTGCCACTCAGGGCCAACTTGAGCCCCTGGCAGATGAATGTCCACAGACAGTTCACAGGCACTACCACTGACCTTACATAGGCTGCGTGGTCAGGGAAGATCTTGCGCAGCGGGTTCCCTTTCAGCCACAGCTCTTCCAGCTTCAGCTCTTTTACCTTCTCCAGTTCTAGTATTGTCCAAAGCTGAGACAAACAACAGGACAAGAGCAATATGATGTACAAGGAATCATGACCATGGCCCTGCACCCACAGTCCTGACCCTTACCCACAGGTATATCATCTGCATGTTGTCACCTGATATGCACCCACCCACTCATCCTCAACCCCACTTACTTGTGGCTCCCCCTTCTCACCTCGTTATCACACAGGTTCAAGGACCTGACTTTGGGGGCCTTGTCTAAAATGTCAGACAGGCCATCCAGATGGTGCAGTTTGTTGTTGCACAAATTCAGAGCCGAGAGCTTTGGGGAAGGAGGGGTTGGAGTGATAGTTCACATCTGTGGCTTGGGAGGTACGCTTGCTCTCCAGGCCACCCTGTGACACTCTGTCCCATATGGGAGTCCTAGTCCTAGGACCATACCTCAGGGAATTCTGTTCCAATGATCTGTAGGGTTGCAGCCATGCATTGTCTTTGATTCAGTATCATGTCAATATGATGGTGCATCAAGTCTACAGGAAACCAGGAGAAGGGAAGCAGAAGGAGATGGGTTGACAAGAGCCAACACCAACACCTTCCAAGTGGTCATCACTTTGTGTACTTCCAGGTTATTCTCACCCCCTACACCCTGCCTTCTCTCTCCATGCAACTGCAGCTCACAGCTATACCTGGGTCAAGGCGTAGACTTTGTAGGTCAAGGCGCTTTGTGTTGGCATCATACCGTTTGTACAAAGTGCGCTGTAAAGACACATATGGAGAGCAGGGCTCTGAGGCTCAGCCAGAGGGGCTGGTGACAGGGACATGTAGGAGTGCGGGGAGAAGAGGCAGGTGTGTGGAGTGTGCACTGCACAACATTCTTTAACCTCATTACCTTCAGCAGTTGCATTTCTTCTGGTTTCAGTTGATTCTGCACAGAGTAGGGTGCAGCAGAGCGATGGACGAACACAGCTATCTGTGAAAGAAGGGGCAGCCTGAGCACCAGGATCTCTGCTCCCAAGCAGGAACACCACCAGCCCCTGGCCCTGGGAATCGGTTTTGCAGTGTCCTCTGCGCACACCTTTCTGTTGTCATCATCCCGAATCTTTCCACTCACATCCCTCAGGGCGGATGCTGCAATCTCATCTTGAATAAAGAAACAGGCCTGGTTCCTGATGTAATGGAACTATGGGGAAGCAACAGCAACAGTCTGACAGCTTATCTGTCCCTGCTGAGCCAGGCTCCTCTCTCCCCTCTCCCACCCCTCTGCCTTCACCATCCTGTCTTACGTCCACAGCAACGAAAGGAAGCGTGCAGTAACTCTGAATTGATTTCATCAGTTTTGTCTTGTTACACTTTCGTGCATGTGGAATCTAAGTGTAAAGAGGAAAACTCAATGATATGATCAGTAATACAGAATTCAGAGTGACAAACTCAGTGCTCCCCCTCAGACTTTCCAACTGCAATTAGTGTTTCCTGAAGAAAGAGTGCTCACAGAATTTCTTCTGTGCTCAATATTTGAGTTTTCAGAGCCCTGTTTTCTCTATTTTTCGCTCCCCCCGGAATCACCTGGGCTCACGCAGCCTTACTTCTATGAGATTTCAGAGTATTCTATCTCACGCAGATCTTAGCAAGACACTCACTGTGACCTTAAACCAGCATGACGCCGATCCATCCTGTGTTTTTCCCCTCATGTCTTTCCTTGGATATTTGCTATATCGGCACAAAGGCATGTGGATTTGGCCATGATGAGAAGCTTTTACCATCCTCTTCTTGTACTGTGTAGTATAAGAAGTGCTTGGAAAGAAGTAAGAGCAGGTTTCTGTAAGTGGTAGGACAACCTTCCCAACCCAGCTCCTTTTTCTGATGACTGGAGGTAGAAATTCCCAGCCACCCACCATTTCTAGCATGCTTTAGTTTTCCCATTACACACACACACACACACACACACACACACACACACACAGAGAGAGAGAGAAAAGAAGACCCGGAAATGGAAGAGTCCCATGCTTCAAGAGGTTGCTTCGTTTAGACCCAGTAGTCAATTCACTTACCACTCTAACTGTATTTCTTCCTGGGTGTCTACCATTGCCTGGGCTCCATTTGCCTCCTGGTGGTGTGAAGGTGGAGGCTCAGGCACACCATGTTCATACTGAAGGTTTTCCTGGCATAAACGGCGACGGAACAAATCCCAGTCTTTCTTCATCCGTTCATGGTGGGTGGTACCATCATGGAGTTCTGAAATTCAAGACAAATATATTACGTTGAAGACACATAAATTTCTGAGGTACTACCTTATGGTCTATAGCCATATTAATGCAAGAAATGTAATAACCGGCCCCATGAAAACAATCCTAGGAAGCTTAGAAAGAGGACTCCAATCCCTGTCCAGATATCCCACAAATAAACCTATACGAAGAAAAATCTTGAATAAGAAGCACTTCAGTCAAATCACTTTTTAAATGAGGATTTGTAGTAAACAGAAATGTGTCTTGTGCACAGAAATCTGTTTCAATCTTGCCTTCTTCTCTCAGATTCTTTCACAATAGCACCGATACCTGGGAGACAACCTCCTCCACACCCTCAAATCCTACCAGCCACCAGACTGATTATATGAAAACTTCCATTTCACAGGTAATTCAAGCTTTAAGGACAGGTGACACTGTGGCAGCACCTACCAAAAATGTCCCAATGTTCCCATCACTGCCCTCAATTATAATTTTCTGGAAATACCCAGAGCAAATATCTTGGCCCACTCTGACATGTTTTTAGTACCAGAGTCAACATTGCATATACCCAACTCTTGTATAATGAATGTCTGAATGGAAAACAGGTATTTTGTTGTAATGTCATGCCCCACTTGTCATCACTCGGATTTTATTTGCCACTGCATGTGATTTAATATCACTGAGAATAAAAGTATAAATGTGAGCTCCCTGACAGCTACCTTACAACCCGAATGAAGACAATGAATCAGGACAGCACACAAGTGACTCAGAGCAGCAGGGAGACCAGAGGAACAGACGTTTCTTAAACAGAAGACATACTGGAGCGTTGACTTACTGGACTCTTGCTTCTCAGCACAGTCCCTGTTCTGCATTGGTCCGGCAGGAATCAGGGGTGCGAGCAACAGGCTGAGAAAGCAGCCAGTGCTGCTCCTCTAAACTGCCTTAATGCTCCCTCAGGGTCGAGGATGCCTTGTTGATCCTCCCTCCTGGAGACTGTAGTGAGGGAGGATTCTTTATGACATCATCAGTGTGTGACCAGTACTTCCTGGTTCACTCTGAAATTCTGCCTACAGCACGGCCATGATGCTGGGTGTATGGTAGTGAAAGCATGGAAAGAGGGACCAGTCTTTCCCAGTACCATCCAGCATTGGCTCAGGGTTGGGAACACTGCCGGGGATCCTGTAGCCTTCCTCACAGAAATCTCATGGGAACTGACTCCACACAACATTTTCAGATCACAAAGTTTGAGTCCACACAAATCACGTACATGTCCTGGGCTGTTTCATCCAACAATGTAGCAGAACTGAAATTGGATTCTATTTTTTTGAAAGATTTTTTTATTTTTATTACAAAGTCAGATATACAGAGAGGAAGAGAGACAGAGAGGAGGATCTTTCGTCTGTTGATTCACTCCCCAAGTGGCCACAAAGTCTGGATCTGCGCTGATCCGTAGCCAGGAGCCTGGTGCTTCATCTGGGTCTCCCACACATGGGCAGGGTCCCAAGTCTTCGAACTGTCCTTCGAACTGTCCTTGATTCCCCAGGCCGCAAGCAGGCACCTGGATGGAAAGTGGTGCTGCCTGGTTTAGAACCAGTGCCCATATGGGATCCTGGAGTATTCAAGTAGAGAACCTTAGCCCCTAGACTATCGAGCCAGACCTAAGATTGGTTTCTTAGGGGTTTTTTTTATGATTTACTTATTTATTTATTTTATTGTAGAATCTGATACACAGAGAGGAGGATAGGCCGAGAGGAAGATCTTCCATGTGCTGACTCACTTCCCAAGCGGCCAGAGAGGCCCGAGCTGAGACGATTCAGAGCCTGAAGTCCAGAAATTTCTCTGGGTCTCCTATGTGGGTGCAGGTCCCCAACGTGTTGGGCTGTCCTCGACTGCTTTCCCAGGCCGCAAGCAGGGACCTGGATGGAAGCAGGGTAGCTGGGATTCGAACCGGCTCCCATATGGGTTCCCGGTACGTGCAAGGAGAGACCTTTTGCCACTAGGCTAGTGCGGTGGGCCCTGAAAGTGTTTTTTGAATTTAGTTTTAGGCCTTCTTATTTAGTATTATTTTGTTTATTAGTTTGTAATGGGTTTTGCTTAGTATTAGTTTCCAGTTGATTCAATTTGCTTCACTGACGTAATTTTAATAATGTTCCGAATACCGTTCCTCCCTCCCTCCTTTTTGTCCCTTTCAACCTTCATCTCTCTTCCTTTCCCCTTTTTCTCCTTCACTGATGAGATCATTTATCTGTTATTCACATGACAATTAACAGCTTTATATTCAGGTAAGTAAAGTGTTCCTTAGGAAAAATGGCTGCCTTTGTCACTTTGTGCAGCCTCGTCCATGATGTCTTGGGTAGTAAATGTCTGCTACTGGGAAGGTTGCACTCCTGAAGCTTCCCTGAGCCCATGGAAGCTGAGGTCCAGTCCAGACATTGTGCAGGCCTGGACAGAGGTCTAGCTTCCTCTCAGACTCAACTTGCAGGACATGAAGGACAAACCACGTTAAGTATACAGTTATAAAGGAAGGGATCTACTCTGAAATTACGTCCCATCAGCAGTGATTGATCCATGTACACAATCAAACCTCAGGCTTTTATCAGCATAACATAAGTATGGCATTATTTTGTAATTCAAGAATGTATTTTACACAGTGTAAAGTGAACTATTGTGACTCCAGGTTGTGTCTCACCTCTGAAATTTCCAGGGATCCAAATAGAAATCTCAATGTCAAAATACTCAACTTTAAAATTTAAATCTAAAGAATTGTCAGAGGTGGAAATCATTTGGTCAAAGCTCTAATACAGGCGGCAGACATTCTGGGTGATATCAATGGCAACTCTGTGTTAACTATACCACCAGTGTGCCAGCATAAATGCTTAATTTTTTTTTCTTAAAGATCTGGGGAGAAGCTGACAAAGTATCTACCATGCCACTGTGGGTGCTCACTAACCATGTCCACCACACAGCTGTCATGTCCACTACATGCATGGAGGGGGCCGTGCATTGCTAGGGGACAAGGGACTGGGGACAGATCAGTGAAGGGCATTTCAGGTTTAGCATTTACATCGTTTGGTGCCAATCCTATTGGGAAATTTGTTTTTATTTTCTTTTCTTCCTGATAGTTTCTCTTCTTTTTATCAACATCCTCACTGACTCGTAGATCGCACAGTAGCATCATTTTACCCAGGAAACTTTTGTGTTTTCTATTTTATTTCTTTATTGATACATTAGTTATTCAGTAGCATGTTGTTTAACTCCATGGTGCTGTTAATGTTTTAACTTCATTCCCATTGTTAATATTGTTTCGTGGCTTCTCATCTAAGGGACTGTATAGTGACAACGTAATGAAGATTATCATGCCCAGATGCGAAGATACAATGCAGTATACATCTCTACTTCTAAATCAAAGATGGACTCCCAATGAAACTATCTTGACAATAGGATGCTGGACTGTCTGGCATTGTGTGTACCAGCAGTTTTGGAGCACACCTAAATAACAGACTGATGGAATTATAACTCCTTATGAAGGTCTATACTATAGTGATAATATGGGGAAAATCAGTTGGGGGTAGGAATTTGGAGAGGGGTAGTGAAACCCCATACCCTATGGAATTGTAGCATAAAATTAAAAATTAAAAATTAAAAATGAAAAAAAAAAACAGTAGAAGGCAAGAAAAGGAATAGAGATCATTAGGGCAAGGAGGTTGAGGATATCTAGGTCTGATGATGTCAAGAGAAGATGGACAGGAGCTGGACCATAGATTCTACAATCCTTGTCTACATTGTCTGTAGGAAACCCAGGGAGTTAGCCTGAATTTCTAGCTACACAATGCAGCTATTTGATAGCATGTGAGCACTTCCTATTCCTCCCAGTAAAGCAGAGAATTGCAAAAGGCATTTCTAATGGAGAGTCACAGGAGCTTGTCTGGGACTGCTGAGTTACCATACGAATGAACCAGGTAGACATTTCCTTTGGTTAGTGTATGTTATCAAGATATCCACACACCAACACATGGCTTCTTAATATAACATATGTGAAGTGTTTAAAAGTGAACAGTGACAGGAAATAAGTTATGCCTAACAGGAAGGTGGGGTTCATAAAAATTTGTGAACTATTGGGAACTGCCCTATGCCCTAGTTAGTAGGATTATAACCTGAAGATGTCGCGGGTCTGTGGATGCATTGAGGTTGACATGATCAGCCACAAGACCCTGGACACATTTTCTCTCAACTCTGCAATGGAGTCAACAACATTTTGGGACCGTAAAAACCACAGCAATAATATCCTTGGAACATTCTTTACCACATCAGAATCGTTAAGGTGTCATCAACTACCCATCCCTACATTTGAGTGTTATGGAGAAAAGGGCTGCTCCATGCTGGGGGTGGAGAGCAGTGTGTGTGAATCCTTGCTATTCTGCACCCGTGGGGCACTCCCTGCTCTGTCCACACAACACAAACATACA